CCTGTGCCGCCATGGCACCCTGGACTGCCTGATCTGCCCTGGAGGTATTCCCTGTGTCCCAGTCCTGCACCAGCCTCCAGGGGTCCCCAGGGGGGAGTAATGTCAGACTCTGTTTCTGTCTTGTGTTGTGTTTTGTTCCCCACGTGCTCCATGTAATGTTTATGCCCTTATTTGGCCTTCCTGTTCCTGTTCCCTGATTAGGTTAATTTGTCCAAGGTGTTTCCTATGTTTATTATGACATTATTTCCAGGTGTTCCCCATTTAGTTTGGAGTACTTTAGCCCTGTGTTTTTCATAGTTTCTTTGTTCGGTATTGAATGTCTGTATGTGAATGTCAACCTCCTAAGCTACGTGTGTTTTCCTGGTTCCATTGATTTCATTAAATTCTCCTTGTTGATGTACTCCACGTCTCCTCATTACTCGTTCCGCGCTCCAGCACAGTAGCAAACGTGACAGAATACCGGACCAAAGACAGAAAAGTAAGCGGCGCCCCTTCTCCCCATTTTGTTTTCTCGTTTTTTTTTGGTGGACCCTGCCCGATTACATCAACCTGGCTCGGTTCGTCAGCGGAACCCCTCTCCTCGCTGCCAGCCCAGAGGCATCACCCATTTGTCCCATCCATCCTCAGTCAAGTCGGCCGGCCGTTCATCAGTCAAGCCTGCCGGCCGTGGTATTTCCAAGCCCGCCGGACGTTCTGATGTCCTCAAACCAAAAGAGGAGGAGGAGAAAAGGACTGTTCTCCGCCCTCATCCTAGCCCCAGAGCTTCGTCCGCGCTGGTCCTGTCCAGCCCTGAGTGGGCTCCCGTTTCCCAGTCCAGCAGAGAGAGGGTTCCAATCCCCGAGTTTAGCCCAGAGAGGGTTTCAGTCCCCGAGTTTAGCCCAGAGAGGGCTCCAATCCCCGAGTTTAGCCCAGAGAGGGTTCCAGCCCCCGAGTTTAGCCCAGAGAGGGCCCCAGTCCCCGAGTTTGGCCCAGAGAGGGTTTCAGTCCCCGAGTTTAGCCCCAGGAGGGCTCCAGTTCCCTTGTCCAGCCTAAGGAGGGCCACAGTTCCTGAGTTAGGCCTACGGAGGGCCTCTAAAGACTATATTCTCCCCAAGGATTTTTTTTGAGGGGGCGGGTAGTAGGGATCCATCCGTGGAGGCCGGGCCAAGTGCCGAGGCCAGGCTCCCCAAGCTCCCTGTTCCGCCATGGCCTCCTGAACTACCTGCTCCGCCATGGCTTCCTAGTCTGCCAGCTCTGCCATGGCGCCCCGAACTGCCTGCTCCGCCATGGTTTCCAGAGCTCACTGCTCCGCCATGGTCCCTGAGCTGCCTGTGCCGCCATGGCACCCTGGACTGCCTGATCTGCCCTGGAGGTATTCCCTGTGTCCCAGTCCTGCACCAGCCTCCAGGGGGGGGGGGGGGGGGTAGTAGGGGTCCGTCCGTGGAGGCTGGGCCGAGTGCCGAGGCCAGGCCCCCTTAGTTCCCTGCTCCACCATGGCTTCCCGAGCTCCCTGTTCCGCCATGGCCTCCTGAACTGTCTGCTCCACCGTGGCCTCCTGGACTCTTTGCTCCACCATGGCCTCCTGAACTACCTGCTTCGCCATGGCTTCCTAGTCTGCCTGCTCCGCCATGGCTCCCTGCTCCGCCATGGCCCCTGTGCTCCCTGTGCTGCCATGGCACCCTGGACTGCCTGATCTGCCCTGGAGGTATTCCCTGTGTCCCAGTCCTGCACCAGCCTCCAGGGGTCCCCAGGGGGGAGTAATGTCAGACTCTGTTTCTGTCTTGTGTTGTGTTTTGTTCCCCGTTTATATATGTTTATATATTATATATAATATATATGTTTATATATTATATATATGTATATATATATATATATATATATATATGTCACATTTCATGTCTGTTCTCTTGGTTTATTCACAGTATAAATGTAAATTTAGTGTTCTTTCCAAACTCTGGCTCTAAATTTGTCTAAATACAGATTAGACAAGATAGTATAGATAGTACTGTCATTGCATTAATTAGAGACCATATAGTGAGTCACTTTTTTTTTTAAACATTCTTACATGGTAGTTCATTTGCATCAGCCTTTTATCTGCTCCTTATGGTCACAGCAGTAATCAGCTTCACTCAGGCTGAATTTAGTTGAAGCTGTTATTTACCAGAGCCAAACTCTCACTGTGTTATTTACAAACCTCACTGTAAATCCTGCAGTCATAAATGTAGCTGGCATAGAATGAACACTGACCAAAACCCAAAAGAGGGATCTTTCAAATCCACACCAAATATGAGTCAATATGAGAGTTTATGTCAATACTTTGATTTGAAGTTGGTGCAAAATAACTGATTGTTGATGGGTCAATTGTAGATGACCAAATATTAAACCTGGCCCAGATTTCTATATGTAATACACAATAGCTCTATAAATGGACATTCATGCCAGAGATTTTTTTTCTTGCTCAGCAGCCTCCAATGTCAGAGAATTGAACGTAATGGCAAGGCATTCCTGTACACTTGACCATTTCTTCAACACAACTTCTATACTCCAGGTTTTTATAGTCATCTACAGAGCCCATATTGTGGACTAGCCTCCATATGCTGTGGTGTCCATATACCCACCGTGAGCATTTTCACTCGACCCTCGGCCAGAGCAGCAAGCTTGTACAACTGCCTTATTTCTTTTAGCATGAGCTCCATGTTGTTTAAAGAACTGGCATCTGTTTTCAGTGTTTCAGACACTCCAGAGTGTGTGTATGTGTGCATGTAGATGAAAGATTTATTGTGCATTACATCAATGATTGAGCATTAGCTGACAAAGAAACATTCTCCTAATCATAAAATATCTCATGCTATCAACTCACGCCCAGATGTGGGCCAAATGCATGGCCACTAATGCAACACAGTTGGCTTTGTGTGAGAAGACACACACTTGGAGTCTATAGTGCCTCATCACGGCTGCCGTAAAGCTCTGTCATGACGACCCGAAACAGCTGTGTGATCAGCTCAACGACAGAACAGACGTGTCCTCTACAATGTCCCCTGTGCAATTTCCTGGACCTTGTCAACAGCTTGAAGTCTTCATTTTCTACAGCAGCTCGAGACATATCAATGCTAATCCACTGTTAGCTACACATCATTATGATTACATCAATGAAGCAGCAACTCCAGTCTGATGGGGTTTCTTGAGGACATGCATGTAGATATAGACAGACTGCACTATGATTATAGAAAATCCCTCCTTTAAAACTGGTGAAATATAACAAATAATAATAGTGTCCAATATAACAAAGAGTGAAAAATTTAAGGGGGTCTGAATACTTTCCGTACCCACTGTATATATATGCTAGATGGCCATCTGCTAAAATCTTTATATAATTTATGTTACAATTACAGTTACAATTATATCATTAAAAACATTTTTTATTCTCATTTTCCACTAGATATTTTCATCTTCATCTCATCAGCAATTTCGATTTTGGTACGCTCTGCAGCAGCTGACCACTAAAGGCCCTGGTATACTTCACTTTCCACGTTCCGTTCCGTCTCAATGCCGGCTCAACATCGTGAAGTCTATCACCCATCGGTAATGGACGAGGGTATCGTCTAACGACCCTACTCTACTACTATATAGCCTATATAGAGATGAGCTGGACCACTGGCATTGCAATGAATGTGAGAAACTGAAGTACCCAACATGGCAGCTTTAGGACAGTAAGTTATATCTAAATAAATAAACAACAACAACATTGCCTGGTCTTTCGATCAGTTCTTGCTCTGTGATTTAACAATAGCACATTTAACAATAACATAAATATTAAACATGCCTGGCTTCCCGATGCAAGTTGGGGAAAGAGAGGATGTTATTGTAAACACGACTTTATTTCCAGATAATAAAATACACAGGTGTGCCCTTACTCCAGGATGTTGAATAAAGCCAGCCAATCAGATTAGAGCTAATGAGATGGAGAAAGCACTTTCCAGAAGAAAGAAACTCCAGGTTTAGAATGAATGAAAATCAACTGCAGGTAACGTTATGAACTCACTGGCCAGTTTGGAGGGTTATTATAGTAGCGAGGAGACAATAAATTTGGAGTTTAGAACGAAATAAATGCTGTTTTAACCTTAGAGAATTTGCAACAGGTATGATTCTACTCTTTCATTTGTATGATAGACTATCTGCAAACTATGCTTGACTGTCATACAACTGAAAACGTTCCAATAATTCATAATCTGCTTTTATAAGAAATAGATGTTTATCTAAGCTGCTCTCTCTCTCTCTCTCTCTCTCTCTCTCTCTGAATAGTTCTGAATAGCCTGCAGATTGGATGATGAGTGAAAAAGTTATGGGCTATAATGACGGAGACATGCCGATGTTCTGTACAGCAAGAAAGACTATAGATATATAGATGGGGAGTTTTGGTCGTGACCTTGATGACTGTTCACAGCTGTGCGTGTTTAGGGTGGGACTGAAGGAGGCAGCAACTTTCCCCCCTCCAGCATCACACACACACACACACACACACACACACTGACAGGTCGAGCAAAACTGCGCTGAGCAGCAGCGCGCTTCACTGGAGTTTCAAAGCGTCTCTGCGCGTCAGCCGAGCAGCTCTAAAGGTAAGATCACCACCCATTTCACTAACTTTCATGTGGTTTCGGTTTCTTGGTGAAAAAAAAGCAAAAACATTTCAGATTAGTTTGAATTACCGGCGGCTTTGTGGTTTAGTCTTTTTTCCCCTACACCCAGGATTTCATCTAAAATATTTCCCTAATTATAGAGACAGTCAGTCAGACGTCACTGACAGATGCGTGCTTTAGGGAATGCACGGAGATCCATTCACGTATGAGTTCACTCGCGTCGGGAGTTGTACGTCGTCCTGAACCTGCAGCCTCACTCCGCTGGGAAGAAGCATTCTGCGTCCAGTTCTTACAGCTCTGCTATAGTAATTCTGTCACATTGGCGCATGTGTCTTGTGTTTATAACAGCAGTGAGGAATCGCTAAGAGCTTGATCAGGCTGGCTTGTATTGAGTGAAGGATGTGTGTCTGTGTGTGGAGGAGATGTGAAGGGAAGCGTAGAGACATGTCTGCTCTTTGAGGTCTGCTGGGTTTCTCCTGCTGTTCTTTGTTCTTCGGCTCAGAAGCTGTGCTAACCGTCTCTGGATGTGTCAACATTCATTATTCCCGCATACATACAGCATGTATACATTTATACACTCTCAGAGCTGTGGTGCTAATGTAGGCAGGTATTGCAGGTTTAAATCCAGCTTGTGACATTTCCAAATCACCATAAATTCCTGTCCGTTTACTCTATATGCAAAGTGTCAAAAAAAAAAAAAAAGTGGGTTCAGTTGGTTTATTAAATTAGTTAAAGAATCAAGTGGCGTTTAGTTTAACGTACTTTACAGTGGATGCTAGTTAACTACTAAAAAGTTGATGAAGTAATCTTTTTTGCTGATCTGCAGTCTTCCTCATCTGAAAAGAAACATTGTCTGGAAATAAACAGTATATGACTCAACTTGCACTCAGGTGTATACACATTTTCGTCCAATCAAATGCTGTCAATGACAATGGCCCTCCCTCTGTTTTGACTAAACAACTATGTACAACTAAGTATGTGCATCATTCTGCAGCGTTTGTGCTCCAGACATGATTTCTCAGATCATGTGTGTTTTTGAGGAGAGTGTGCTGTTACTTTACTAAGTGATCAGGCACACCATTTCCCCCCTGCTGTACAAGAAAACAGGTGAGATAATAATAATAATAAATATAGCTACCAGGGTTACCAGGGTTCAAGTGCTTTAAGGCCTTTATATGACATGGATGCTGTTGCGGGAACGTATTTTGAGCTGGGGAGGCTGGGAAATAAAACGGGGGTTCACGTGACAAGAGTGATGCGAGAAGACTGACACTATGATGGCGGATCCAAAGCGCAACTTTTGTTAATAAAACTTTCATTTATTCGTTTAATAGCCTATAAGTGAGTGTCTTTGCTGCTGAGTTTTCATTAAAAATGAACCACAAACTAAGCATTTGTTTTAAATAAGGGAAAATACCTTATTTATTTGGGTTACAACGGCTATATCCATCTTATTCATTTTGTCAATGCAAGGTAGATGTTTAATATATGCGAATTTGCCATTGTACTATTTTATGGCTGATGTGTTTTAATTAATAACATAATAAACCACAAACTACGATCGTTTTAAGGTAGCCTAAGGGGAAATCTATAGGCTATTTATTTGTGTTAAACTTGAGTAAAACATATCCTTATTTAGGGTAGGCTATAGGCTAATGCTTGGAAATGTTGTTTAAAGTTGTATTATTATTAACGTAAATATTATGATGTTAATGTTATTTATTTCGTTATTTTTAAACGTGGCACAAAAATGTTGCCATATAGGCTACTGAATGCAAACACAATTTTGGCACATCAGCCCAAAAAACAAACAAACAAACAAAACAAAAAATAAAAAACAAACCAAAAAAGTAATGTTGCAAAAATTAATTTGACGAACCTGACTAGCCATCCTCATTGGACGTGCCTTTAGAGAGAAATGCAAGCACAAGGTTTTGTTGATATTGTGAGTGCACACAAATACAAGTAGACCCTTTGCAGTTCCGAATGATGTATACTATTACCTTTATGAGCAAAAATGACGGCGTATTTTTAAGTTTCCGCTGTTATTAAAAATAAAATGCAAGTGCTCGCGCTGGCGTCTCCATGTCCTGCAGAGCGCGCTTTAACTTCCACTCTCCGCACAAACGATTGGATATGCACCTAACAGCGCCCATTTATCTGGGTTAAATGTTTAAACTAATACTGTGAAATGCATGAAGTGTTTTATGTCTGTTTATTTTAGGCAAGTCGTATTGGTTTTAGAAGGCTAAATTGATCAAACATATGCTCAACTCACTGTCTGCCTCTGGCCGCTTGGCCATTCCTTTAAAAAACAAAAACTTGAATTTAACAAACATAAAGCTGAAAGCAAACTAAAACGTCAGTAACAAACAAGGACCAGTCCGTGTCACTTCCACAAAAAAACCGGAAACATCACTGTTATGATGCATATTCACCATATTCACCTCTCAAAAAAGTTTTTATGAAATTAGTTTTTGGTAAATCATTCAAATGTAACACTGTGCAATAGTGGAATGACATTTTTACAATAGTTTAGCTAGCTAGCAAGGTCAGCTGCAATCTGTTAAGCTGTAACAATAACAAGATTAATACTAGTGATATAATGTTGATTAGTCGTATGTTAATATAATTTGTATTATGTATATAATCAAACTGAAATAATAGCTGTGTAATGGGGAAGAGAGAGAGAGAAAAAAGACACGGGCTACAGTCGGACTCGGGGCGAGAATTCTCATAAAGCAGTTGGACAAGGGCCGGGCCTGTGCAGGGCTCTATTCGTTCCCTCGTTAGTGAAATAATGTAGATTAGTCGTATGTTAATGGCATTTGTATTATGGATATAATCAAATTAAAATGGCAATTTTACTTTTGATTAAATATGAATACAGGTAACATTACATCAGTGAGCACGGCCATATTCTATAGCAAGATAAAGAAGAAAAGGGCAGAACTGGCTCTTCCTGAAGATGAAAAAAACAGCTTTGTGAAGTTTCATGCATAAAAAAGGTGATCTTTCAAGGATTATGGGGGGATGGGGGGCTCATGTTCATAGTCTTCCTTTCATAAGATTGCGTAATGCTGAATTTTCATGAACTTCAATGTTTTTGGTTTTATGTCAATGTTTCATGATACATGATATACAGTATTATATTTGTTTTACCTGTATACATTTGCAATTTAAATACTATTCATGAAAAATGTAATGAAATAAAAATATATAAATCATTATTCAGCAAAAAAGAATGGAATAAATAAAAGCACAAGTTGTTGGAAAGTATGTATAAGGTGTAAATTATAAGTACTGTGTTAAAGCTTATAATAGCACCAATTGAATCAACACAAACAACATTTCTTAGGAAAAATATTAACTTACACTTATTCTAAGTTAGATCCACTATTATATGCTGTTGCCGTATGGCAACATATCATAAAGTACCTTCAAATAATATTTTTTTCAAAAAAGTTCTTTTACAGCACTTCAAGTTAAGCCATTCTTAGAAAAGAAAAAGTAATATTTTTTTCTATAGGTCTATCATAATGCGTGCGGTAGAGTGTTCGTTGCTTCTTGTCATTGTAGGCTTAGGCTAATTTTTTCAATGAATTTTAATGAATATACTAATTAATAAAATTAATATTATTTATTTTTTTATTACATATTGTTCATTCATTTATTTTTAACACCGCAACCCCAGAATCCCCATTTTTTCGTGGGCTACACTCCAGGGGGTGCTGCAGCACCCTCAGCACCCCTACTTCCCGCGGTAATGAGTACATTGCATAAGTATTCAATAAATTAAATAAAACAAGCTTTGCTCATTAGCATTTGGCAATTATCTGCCATTCTTCACCTCACCTCTTCACCTTTCAAGCTCTGTCAGGTTGGATGGGGGCAGAAGCACATTTTCAGGTTTCTCCAGAAATATTTGATTTGGTTCAAGCTCATGCTCTGTCTGGGCCACTCAAGGACATTCACAGAGTTGTTTATAAGCCACTCTTGCTGTGTGCTTAGGGTCATTGTCCTGTTGGAAGGTGAACCGTCTGCTCAGTCTGAGGTTCTGAATGCTCTGGACTAGATTTTTATTAAGGCTATCTCAATATTTTGGTGCATTGAGCTTTTCTTCTACTCTGACGAGTTCCTCAGTCCCTGCCGCTGAAAAACAGCCCCACAGCATGAGGCTGCTACCAGTACACTTTACTTTTGGGATGATAATCTGCAGGTGATGAGCAGAGTTGGTTTCCTTCAAAAATGATGCTTGGAATTGAGGTTCATTAGACCAGAGAATATTATTTCTCACAGTCTGGGGGTCCTTTAGTTGCTTTTTTGCAAATTCTAAGTGTGTTTTCATGTGTCTTCACTGAAGAGAGGATTGAGTCTTGCCACACCGCCATAAAGCCCAAATCGATGGAGTGTTGCAGTGGTGTTTGTCCTTCTGTAGTTTTCTCCCATCTCCACATATGATCATGGAGCTCAACTAGAGTGACCATCAGATTCTTGGTCACCACACCAACCAAAGCCCTTCTCCATCAGTTTCTCAGTTTGGCCAGGAGGCCTGCTCTAGGAAGAGTCCTGGTTGTTTCAAACATCTTCCATTAAGGGTAACAGAGACTACATGCTTCTGTGACCCTTCAATGAAGCAGAATTGTTTCCTAAACTCCTCCCCAGATGTGTGGCTTGATGCAATCCTGTCTCTGAGCTCTACAGGCAGTTTGACCTCAGGGCTTGGTTTTTGCTCTGATATGCATTATCAGCTGGTAGACCTTTTATTAAGCTGTGTGTGCCTTTCCAGATCATACCTATTCAGTTGAATTTGCCACAGGTTAACTTCACTCGAAGTGTAGTAACATCTACAAGCAATATGAATGCTCCTGAGCTAAATTTTAACTATCCCAGATAAGGGTACGAATACTTACGCAATGGAATCATTTAAGTTTTTTATTTTTAATAAATTT